CCGAACACAAGTAAATTCAGTAGAGTATAAAGATTAAATACTAATGTTGTATGTGCTTAAACAATTTACTCCTGCTCGCCAGGTTCGTAAGTGAAAACGGAAACGTGGCAGTTATCGACCGGGAGGCGAGCATGCAACATGGAGGGGCAAACACGAAGCATATCATCTTTTGGGTAGGAATATTTCCTCCTGCGATGCCGAGCCGGTGCCTTGTAGCAAGTGTTGAAAAGCGGCTAATACAGCGAAAATTACAAACAAGGACGTTGTGCTCATGCAAACTGCTCGAGGTGATGATCTTAAAAAAAATAACCTACGCAAACAGAGCGCAGGCTACAAGTCTGTGAATCGATGAGCTACTGCAAGGAAAAAGACATGATGGCGTCTCGAAAAAGAGAGAGCCCAGTACAACCCTTATCCCCATGATAGCATTCGTGTTCGACCATATCAGTTTGAGACAAAGTAAGTTACTCGGGTGGAATAAAAAAGCTCAAGGACGCAGACGAACTCGTTTGTCAATTGCCCTTACGTTATTCGCCATAAGAAAGTGCACATTATTCTAACGCAATTGAGCAAGAAATTTATACCTCTATGATTCAGTACAATCAATCAAGAAAGCAGGTCAACCAAGTCGCCACGACGTTGACCTGCGAATGGTGAGAAGAGAGTAGCGCATGGGTGTGGCGGATGAAGATTCTGCGAAGTTTATGGGTTACTGCTTGCGCTCTAGGGCTGAAATTAGACGTGATCCACCGGATCGCCCACTAAACTAGCATTAAGTGTAAACATAAACGTAAATAAATTAAAAATGAAAATCTTCATAATTACCGCAGCAGTGAAACTAGATTAGTTGACGTCACATTAATAATTTCGTCATTCAATGATAAAATAATCAAAATGAACTGCTTGAAAAAGGGAGAGATTCCGATAACCCGCCAATAACGTTAGAGTAAATGATGTTTCATTCGGAAGTTTCAGAACAACAAATAAAGCAGGGTGACCTCAATTCTGTTTTACTTAGAATGCTTTTCAACAAAACAATGTCACTAACGCTAAAAAACAACCTGTATATTAACGTACCGTCATGATAACACAAATGTGACGAAGGCACATGCCAAATATTACACGGATTTAATATTGATCACTTCTGCTTCTGTCATTTTTAACCAAAAATCGAAATGATTCAACAAATTGTCAATCCTTCATTTATCCGTATTCAATACTCTTACGCATGATTGGTTTGTGCAAGTTAATCGTTTAAATTTTGTCTCAACTCTGAACTACATTGTCAGTATGCAAATGAAACTGTTGCACTTTGAAAACAGCATCGAACAAGCCATACTTGAAAACAGAGTTCGTATTTCTTCAACAGCTTTGTAAGCCAACGATTCGCTCTGCGACCATACAATACCTCTGTAGTTGTAATAACTGAAACAAATACGGTATTCAAGTATTATTGCTACTAAAAACAAACTTGTTCCCTGAAACAGGATACCAGTGAACCGAAACGGAACTATCAACGGATCTGGACCAAGCG